ACCCACCCACACACACACCCACACACACATGGGTATACTTGCATCAAAAAAAGACTTCTTATCATTGAGGTTAGTATACCACAAATACCACATAAATGTATTTACAATTATAGAAGAGCATAATCAATACTTACAACATTAAAATTATTGTCCAGAACTTGATACTATACTCCGAAGGTATCGAGCGATAACCCGGCCAACCAGCCGCCTTATGTTTGTTTACATTTCAATAGCTTTCGAACGGATCCGATCTAAGCTAGGCCTATCGTCAAAGCACATCATAGCTGAGACAGTTGCTTCGCAAGATTTGTAATTTAAAAAATGGGATGTTACTGCATATGCTATGCAAGTTCTGAAATTACATAAAATTGGTAAACTTATATCCTTTAAATATCATTTTCATAAAGTAATGCTTTTTAATTTTCCCCTACAGGAACCAACACTAATAGATGACTGGAAAAACTTGAAAAAAGGTGTTCTAACGAAGCGCCTTCTTAAGCATCTTTGGGAGAAGTTTCCAATATTTCAGAATGACACGGATGAGAAAATGTTTACATTTTTTGTCGACTTGATGAATAACTTTGGTCTCATATGTCAAAAAAAGGAACAAGTATGATCAAATAGATATTAATTGATAGTGTAGTAATTGTTTTTAGAATTGAGCATTTTAGATATTTTTAAAAAGGATTGTGTGTATTTTAATATAAATATTTTTTAAGCTGAATATTAAAACTTAAATTTATAAAAATAGTAAAGTAATTTGGTAGACAGCATAGAAATACAAAAAACATCAAAACCAGCTCAATGATAATTTTTTTTAATTATCTAAAATAATAAAAATTATAATAATTATTATAAGTCAGTCGTGATGTCATCACTGTAACTCCCAATGTTATTTGCCTATTCCCCAGCGTCCACTAATTTTTCTATTAGTGCAAACAAAAATTCTCATCTTTTTGTCACCACGAATACATCGCACACCGCAATAAAAATTGAATTGTAATTGAAAATTACTTTCGTAAAACAAGCTTAATTAGAACCCGAAGAAAGTTACTTCAAATTCAATATTAAGTATGAACAATTAAGGAATTCATTGAATCAATGGACCCTCATAAACACAACAAACTGAACGTTTAATAGGAATATTCTAGACCTATTTTAAAGACTCAAGGAACAAATTTAGATGTATTCCTACGGCCAGGCAGGAGGCCACCAGGGCCGCCTCCTACTACTACTACTACTAGGCCGTAGCCTAGCCTAGTTTTGAAATCATCACAATTTTACCTGTCTGCATGCACCGTCCAAAAAGGACGTCAGTGACTGTATTCTCTCTCAAATGCTGAAATGTTTATTTCTTTGACGAAATCTCAAAATAGCATTACAAACGATTTCTTTCTAACACAATAGTTATTCATTGTATCCGTACTGTACTGCTATGTAGTTAATTAAATGCGTACTACAGAAGCAAATATCAGCATACGCACAGCTAAATGTAAATACGCACACGTATACTGATCATATCACTATAGCAACCGATGACTGTTACAACAGTTGGTTATAAAAAACAAAAATTAAAAGACGGCGATTGACTTAAAAAGCAATTAGTAGAGCATGCATCGTACACTAAATGGAAAATTATTATACTTAGGTTTGATTTAATGCATTCAAAAATTTCCTTTGGGCCTTGCAGGCCCTCAGGAAATTTTTTCAAGCATTAAATCTAACCTTCGTACAATAATTTTCCTATAGTGTACTCTGCGGAGCTCTACTAATTGCTTATTATTATATAAATAAATGCAAGTGCCAGCTTTTACTTAAATAATATTATTGATAATAGCAACAGTAATCAAAAACCTATAATAATACAAAATTTACTAGGTTATGAAATATTGACTCCATTTTTAAAAAACAATTTATTATATTTAGAGGGAGCTTGGTGGGTCTTAACTTTCATTTTTTATTGGTTTAAATTCTAAAGCACCAGGATTTTTACTTACATCTAAAACAACTTAACTGGTCCTCAGCCTTTTGAGCCTTATGACTTTTTTACTCTATTTAATTCAATATTTTAGGCTGTGTCTCCACAACCGTTAATTATTACCTGATAAATTTTTTATTGTTGTCCATAACTTTTCACTATGGAGCAAAAAAATTAGAGGGCAAGACACTTTATCTGAACTTCCCTCTCTTCAGCTTGGAGTATAAATTGGTACAACGATTTACCTCGCCTTGCCTACGCTCGAACCAACCAATTCTAAAAAAAACCCAAGAGTTAGAAACTAGAGCCTAGCCAACTGGGAAAACTACAAAAAAAAAAAAAAAAAAAAAAAGGGGGGAAAAAAATAGCCTACGGACTTACTACTACTGTACTACTAGGCCTAGTTCCACTGGTGTTCAGAGCCGACAACGACGTGCCAACAGTGTGTGGTGGACAAGAAATGGGTCTATCACCAAAAATTTCGTTCATCATCTCAAAATACGGCCATTCTGTTGGGGGGGGGGGTTTCCTGACTTTCCGTTGGGTTTCCTGGGTGTATTTTTTTGCGCAGGTTCTTGCATTTGGTATTCTATCTGTGCGTGCGTAAAGTTATAACCCATTTCCCGCATCTTCTGTGCGATTTCTTTATATACGGCGTTGTTCCGTCGGGTTCCATCAAAACCATCTTGTATGGATGTCGTTCTCCATATGCTAATTAACGTTTAAAAGTAAGGTCAGTTGACACCATGCTGTGGGCTATTGCGCCCGAGGCAGCCTCAAACCCTCCAAACTTATCCGGAAAGGATAAGCCCGGAAAGTCCAGATGTTTTAGTAATTATAGCTAGTTGAGGAATGATTAATTATCACCTCAGGCTTGAGTTATCCGGTTTTCGAAAGTTCGTAAACGGGCCCTTAGATATATTGCCTATAATAAAAAGTATATGTATACTGTCTGACTTTTTTAGCATTGTTTTGTTCATCAAAAGACATTACATTTTCTATATATTCTTTTTCTCTCATATTTCTTGGTCCCCACAGGATGCTGGTTCAGATAGTATTTCTTACTATGCTGTTTCACACTTACAAGCTAGACATTCAGAAGATCCAAAATGTGACCAAGGGAATAACAAAGTATCCATTTACCATAATTTCTGTGGTTTTCTGCCTGATCATTTTTTCCATTTGGCTGTCACTAAATTCATTGAAGAGTTTCAGATGGAAAATGGATATGAACCTAAACTGGCATATGAGCATGCAAAGTTTAGCATTGACAATCGTCATTATGTGAACATATCAGTTGTAACCATCAACCACCATCGGATGTTTAAGGTACAATTACACTTTTACATATAATCTTAAGTGTACACTCATTAAAACTGCATTTCACCAGCCAATCTGCCAGTGCTGACTCTTAATATTAAGGAAATTAATTCATGGTTTTTGGTACTAATCACATATTAGATAACTTTAAAGACCTTTCAGTTGTACATATTGGGAACTGCATTGAAATAGTAGATTATTTTAGGAACTAGGGTATTAATTTTGATCCTCAATTAAAATAGAAGGATCAAATAAATTATATTTTAACACAAGTATCAAAATGAATTGGTGTTATATGTCGCATAAAATATTATTTACCTCTTCATATTCTTACTATGCTGGCAAATGCTCTTATAATATCAAGATTAGGTAGAGTTCTGCTATCTGTTGATTTAAAAACTCTAGTAAATGATATATTAGCACATTAGGCTGGAAACCACTTAATGAAAGATTGAGAGAACATTTACTTAAGTATTGGCGAGTTGATTTGCCGAGCGGTTAAGTCAGGGGCACTACAAACTTTCTGCTCAGATATTGCCGCTGGTTTGTACGGCTCACTCGCCAATGGTTCCCGTGGTGGAACAAGTCTTCTCGGATAAGGCCTATAAACTGTAGGCCATTAGGTGTGCAAGTTCTTTACAATATGCCGACCATCCTATACCCAACTGGTCTGGTGAAGTGGAATTAGTGTTTGACATGTTAATGAAGATTTATTACCCATTAAACAACTGATCGTCCTTGAGTGAGGCATGGTCTTATGAATCCTTCTTTACAGTGGAACCTTGCAGTGTGAATGTGTGTAATAAATCTTTTTATCACTTAACTGTCATTGATAGAAGGTCACACACTTGCCAAGTTAATTGGATTAAATCCACTAATCGCGTTTGACGTTAAAGTTAGAGCGAGATATTTTGACTACCAGAAATTTGGAAAACACATTCATTAGACAGGAAGTACAATCGCATGGTGGGTAATTACTGTTGATTTTCGCGTGACTAGTTTATGCTAGATTGAGACTATAGGCTTAAGCTAGGCCTAGGTCTCGGCGGTTGATTAGACTGGCCGAGGAGTCCAGCTGGAGGGTTTACACTGGGTTTCCCCCCAAGTATTTCGTTTAGCGCGTGGTATTGTGGGCATGCCGATTTCGGGTCATCCCTTATTACATTGGCCGACCCCTTGCCCGTCCCATGAATAAAAACGTCTCTCACAGCCTTGTGGTCTGCTCTTAGATTTTTCGACTTTGTCACAACAATTGCCGATGTTATGCTATTGTGGCCTAAGTCCTGCATTCTCTCTGCTGTCCTTTCGTGGACACCAGCACTAACGCAGCAAGCATGGAAGGTCACTTTGCTTCAATTTGATTGGTGTATTCCTGACCTGTGGTCACCCGCTGTTTAATTGTTTACTGGCTTTAGAAGTTAGTCGACATAAATTTACTCAACAGGCTTAGTCGAGTTGTGGCCTTCATCTCGCCATACTTGAGTGGTCATACTCAAACTTATGGCGAGATCTTCTACCTCATCCACTAAAATTATCTCGCCATAGTTGGATATGAACGGGGCTTATGGGAGATGTACACGTTATGGCCCAGTGTACGCATTTTGCTCGCGTGCACATTAAAGAACCCAGTACATCTTTTGAAAATAGTAAGGGGGTTACCCTGGTGTACTGGTCCATTAAGTCCCCTGTTGTTAAATGGATATGCCATGTAGGTCAGTTATTAAATTCATTTAATGGCATATCCTTGGCGCTCGTGCCTAAAGAAATGTTTTATTTAAGTGTTTACGTGGTCATGCAGCATGATATCTTCAATGTTTATGTTAAATGATAAGTGTGCATCCCAAGTTAAACAGTAAAACTTTCATCATCATCATCTGCTACACTGTTTTGTCTTGGGTAGACATTACGTGCGTTAATCGTTTCCATGACTTTCAGTGGTCTGTCATTAACTTTTCAATGGATGTATTTACATGTTTAAGTTCCTCGTTCATTGCTGCAACCCATGTTGTTTTTGGCCTGCCCACCGGTCTTTTAACTTTCCTAACATATTCTGTTAACGCAACTTTGGCTGGAGTGTCCATTGGTAACCTTAACATGTGCCCTGTCCATAAAAAATCTTCTTTCTGTGATCAAAACTGACCATTTCTCTTCCATTGTTCTGTTAAGTAGATCTGTATTTTTTATCTTGTATGGCCACTTAATTTTAAGAATTTTCCTTAACAGGTTCTTATGAAGGCAGTCTATTTCTTCCTATTGTTTGGAGTTGTACATAAATATGCTTCTGATATGTGTATTGATTAGTCGTGTTCTTACTGCTAGTGATATGTTATTACTTGTTAGTGCTTCTTTATGTTGAACCTTAGTAGTACCAAATTGGGAAAATTCTCAAGGAAAACGGAACTTTCAGTACTGATCATCTTTATTTTAGAATGATTTACCAAATGAAATCATAGGGATTCTTCTTGCAACATTTTCGTTTAACAGCGAGAATAGCCAAGCAAATTAGTGTTTCACGCTGTATTTCGCACCGACATAAGCTGTTTTTGGGCCATTTTTCGTCTTTCCACAGTCGTATCTCAGCAAATACTTGTCGGATTTTTCTGTTCCCTTCGGTATTTGAAAGGCAATTCATTTCTGATTGCTTTAGTATTTGTTTCATTTGTATTGCTTGAAAAAAGTCACCGTCATTTTTTACTTTTCGATTGGTGCTATGCTGACCGCGTAGAGGCTGCATTTTTACCTCTTTTTAGTGACTTCGTTGGCTTTAAATTGCCATTTCGGCTGTTCACCAATCAAATATCTTGTTGTTCCCCCTGTAAAATGAGAGCTGAACATTCATAGATTCTTCTCATATAAAATATATTCCCATTGGATGAAAAAAATCACCGTCAAAACACTAATTTCAATATGAATGAACAATCCTGTATAGGCATTTATGGCCGCGAAAATGCGAAGCTTGGTATAGCTTTCCGCCATTGGTAATGAATCTGCGTTGTACTGTTGTTGTATTGTTGTACCTTTTGGCTTAAATTGGCCAATTTCCTTTAGGTATTTTATTTTCACCTTTTACATACTCATTAACTAATATGTTGTCAACATTTACTGAGGGTTATTGTTTGATTTAATGTAAATTTAAAGGCACAAAAGGATCTGGAACATATGGTTGTAGATTTCTCTGCCAGCTGGAAAGAAGCTGGAACGTACCATTATTGAGCAGGTCTGTGATATCCGGATTCAGGCTGGCTAGGAAAAGTGCGTCGTAAAATATGAATGACCATTATAGCCTAAATTGTAAAATTGTTAAACTAATACAGTAATACTGTTATTAATTATATTTAAGACTCGAACAATGCATAAAAACCAAATGTAGGCCTATTAATTACCCCTCATGAAATGAGCAAGTCTAAACGATAACAAAGGCTTCTGAAGGTCACTTCGCTGCAGTGAATATGAGGCGATTAAATTTGATTGTTTTGTTGCAAAAATGTGGCCTAAGAAAACTAATATGACCGTAGTAAATTTCAAAAATGCCATTGGTGCTAATTTACTATAATTTATAATTTATATTTTCATTATAAGGTTACTTTTAATTTTTGTCGTTTATCGTGCCATGTGTAATTTGTGTTTTTCATTTTCATTTTCTCCCTTTTTGATAATTCTGTTCTGTTTAATTTTTTACTTCTGTTTATATTCTTAACTTTCTTAAGAAAACTGGACCATTTTGAAAAAACAGTACTGTATTACTGAAAATGCTATCCAGTCAAAAGAAAGAATAAATAAATTAACATGTTGCCAACTGAATTGCATTAATGAATAATTAACTCAGTTTTTTAAACCAAGGTCGTTCATTGATATCTTTTACACAGGTAATTTTTCTATCCAGTATTCATTTTTTAATTCATTGAATTTATGTAATGTGTCATTTTATTATTCATTATTGCCTCACAAGGACCCCTTTGGAAACAAGCAGAAATTCTCCATCTGATTTTGTACTTTGTTTTATGCTGAGAGTTTTAGAATGCTCTTGCTCACACCTCACACATTCACCCTCATGGTCAACCGTCCTACCAATCCAATGTAAACCTATCAATTCAAAACTTTGTAGGGGTGACTGTTCCTGTCAGAGATACTGACATTATAAAGCACATCATACTTATGGCGCCACCACTGATGCTGATATACAGTATTACTTTTGCAGTTTAAAGAAACTTATCCAATACAAGATTTTATTGTCTTAAGTATTTGAATGTTTTTCTAGTACTGGAATATTAATAATTGAGTAGTCATTTCTTTTTTTTTGTGTAATTTTCTGTAGACAACAATTGTGAGAAGACAACAACCCAATGCCTCTTACGTTATGGAACCAGAACCTGAAACATGTAAAAAGGTATGGGAACAGTTTTTTTTAAATGATCTGAGGTATGTAAGGTTCTTCTGAATCACAGGATGCTATTATGTGCACCGCTGTAGTACCACTAGGAATGAGCTGAGCTGTTGGCTGAGAGGTACTGTTCCTGCTTCTTGCGCTGTAGACCCTAGTTCAAACCCAGCTAGCATTTGGTCTTAATTGGAGTCTGAAAGCTTGGCTACTCAAGTATCCCTCATATGTAGAGTTGGCTAAGGAAAATGTTTGTATCCGTATCTGTCCATTGTATATGTTGTAGTTAAGTCGGGCATCACTGTACTGTGATACGAAAATAACGAAATATCTGGATACAGTACTTATGAAAATGTGCAATAAAGAAACTTGAATCCTTGAATCCACCACTGATCTGGTTTATGAGCTTTGTTAACATGTTTAATTTTATTTTGCTGTACATAGGGATACCTATCAGCATAGTCCAGGCCCTAATTTTGGGTTGCTCACTCATTTTTTGCGCTTAGTATGCGTCATACCTAGTTTAGTTGGCGTCTCATACTCGATTTCTTTTTTATGGATTAAGGCCTGGTCAAACACTGCCTGATCATTCATGCATATGATTTAACACCTCAAATTCAATGTGTGATATCGTATGGATTACTTTGTTAGTCACATGATTGGCTTACTTCTTGCATATTAATTAATCTTGGTAATTTTCAAATTGAAGATGTGCGGTGTCTCGATTACCTGGTCTTGACGGCTAAACTAAGCAGTTGCCTTTTGCATACCCACTTGAATTGATTTAGTCAGTAAATTTTAGTTTGTGGTTTGTGGTTCTGTTGAACATGGTTAAAAAGGATACTCTTGCTAGCTTGCAGAAGTGTGGGAGGCCGTCATGATTTCCGAGAGTCAACTCTTTCAGGCAAGGATGGTGCCAGTGGGGGGTGGGGGTGCAGATACCCAGACCTTCTGTTAGTGAGAGCTGGCCCTGTTGGGGGGAAAAACC